TATAATAAAAAAATGAGAATTTTTAAATATTGATTTGGTATTAACATTAATATATTTTTTTTCAAATTTTTATGATATTTTCATATTTATAATTTATTCAAAAATAAAATCATTAATGTTTTCTTAGAAACACATAAATCGTATTATAACATCGACAGAGACAAATAATAAAATAGAACATTAAAATCGATATGTATTTCGCTGCATTGCACGAGTACTCTTCTAATAATAAAGAATTGAATTAAATAAGTTACACCAAAAAACGATAACTATTAAATAGTTAATTTGATATTAATATCGATTTTATTATTTTCAAAATTTTATGTTATCTTCAAATTTATATTTCATTCAAATAATAAAAACATTATCGTTTTCTCGAAACCACATAAAATTGTATCATATCGATAGAGACAAAGAATAAAAGGTAGACTTTAGAATGAAGATTTATCTCACTCCATTACGCGAGTACCCTTCTAGTATGTATGTATGTATGTATGTGTGTGTATGTATGTATGTATGTATGTATGTATGTATGTATGTATGTATGTATGTATGTATGTATGTATGTGTGTATCTAGGTGGATTAGATGTGCATATGAATGTAAGGATATCGTCACTTATTAAACTTCGAAAACTCGGCTGGTTCTTAACATTGTCATTTTATAACGTTTTTTGTTCCTTCTACTGACGATCGTTAACCAAAACCGTTAAATTTAAATTAAATCAGGGATATTTTTAATCATTGTTTACATTTTTCTGTTACTTCCATCACGGAATGATTAAACAAGACTATTTGAGTCATTAGTGATTAGACCTACTAAAATCTATTGATTTAATTGAACTTAATGGAAAAAGTTAACAACCATTAGGAGAGAGAGACCAAAACTGTTATAAATAATTGTAGTTTAATAACAGTTTGGTCCCTCCTCTTAACAGCCGTTAACTTTTTCTGTTAAATTCAATAAAATCAATGGTATTTTTGTCATTTTAAACATTTTTTTGATAATTCTGTTACCACCGATAAATGAGGGTATTTTAGTCGATATACTCAATTTAAATAATGGTTCACAGAACATAATT